TCGTCCGGCACCGGCGTCGCCACGAGGAGCTCCATCGCCTCAGTAGAGCGTCACCTCGGGCTCGCGCTCGGCGACGTCGACGCGGGCCTGCGACGCGAGGCGCGAGACGGCCTGCGCCGCCGCCGCGGGCGTGGGCGCGACGCCCTGGTACCAGAGGTGGAGCCCCGCCTTCTCGTGGGCCTCCCGGTTCTTGGCGCCGCCGCGGAAGACGACGCGCACCTGATCGAGGCCGACGAGCGCCGCGAGCTCACTCGCCGACGCGGCGCACTCCTGCGGCGCGATGGGCTTGAGCTTGAACTTGACGACGGACTGGGCGGCGGCGGACATCCAGAAGAGGGCGAGGGCGAGGAGAGAGCGCAACGAAATGGCCATCGATCAGCACATGTGGCTGGGGTGTTAAGATCCCGGACCGAATGGCGAATCGGATTCGAGAAAATCGACCTTCAGGGGTAAAGAGGGCTTTGGCAGTGGTGATGGGCACCTTTGGCAAGCTCTATCTCGGCGCCATGGCCACCGATTTGCAAAATTCTTGTTGCATCTGAAAGCCGGCACCGCCGTCTTGCGCGCAGAGCCACTAACTCAAAAACTTCAAGAGCCTCACAAATCCGGCTTTTTATTCAACCCAGCCACACATGCCGGGCAAGCTCTGCACAGTCGCGGCACCGTCACTTCACCGTCCGCCCGAGCAGTCTAGTTGCCGCACGATGATGCTCAAAAATCCGGGCTGCGTGCGATGCCTGCTGAGCCGCCGTGCGCCGCTGCGATGACGCTCCATCGCGCGATGGCGGCCGCGTGGCTGTGCGTCGTCCTCGTCGCGCGCGCCGCGCGCGCCGACGACGCCCTCGCGCGCGTCGTCGCCGTCGACCGCTGGCTCGACGGCGACGGCCCGCCGCCGGCGCACTGGGAGGTCGCGTCGAAGCGGGACCTGAACCCGCGCTGGAAGAAGCTCGCCGGCGGCAACAGCAAGCAGGTGTCGAAGACGTCCTACGGCAAAGCGAAGGTCGTCGTGAAGACGAAGATCGAGCACACCAAGGGCAGCGAGACGCTCAAGCGGGAGCGCATCCTGCGCGCCGAGCTGCTCTTCCTCGAGTACCTCGCCGGGTCTCCCGGCGTCCCGAAGCTCTACGGCGGCTGGCTCGGCGACGGGGGCGCCCGGGTGACCTACGTCGTCCAGGACGCGGGCGAGATCCTCGGCGCGGGCACGGGCACCGTCGGCCGCCCGGCGAAGCCCACGGCCCCGTGGGCGGCCTCGCGCGGAACGCGCCG